TAAACAAAAAATCTAAAGGATTTCAAGCCATGCAGACTCATTATTATAGTGTGGATAGAGTGTGCTTAACACATGGAAATGTGGAATGAGCAGCTGCCTTTCAAAGATGTGACAGCATGACAGACTGATGTGGTCAAGCCTGTCCCATCAATACAGTTTGATTTTTGTTTGATTTTTGTTTGAAAATATTCACCACCTAGCCTCAGAAAACTAGCTTCCTAAAGTAGAAAATTAGTTGTGCCATTTAATGCATGAAGAGATATTTACACTTCCAGCAGCTGTGCAGAACAAACACATGATGGAGGAATGTTGAATTCCTGTTTTCTTGCCTGGGTGACCAAATAAAGCTACTCTTACCTTATCAGTGAAGTCTAAACAATGCAGTGATTAACCTCCGTTTACCTTCGTAATGCTGAGAAGTATTTTAATCAAGTCACTTGGGATGAAGTTTTGAGGTAACCAGGTCTGGAGAAAAGTTTTCTAATGGTAAGCTTCATGTAGTATTTGCACGATCTTAACAATGCAGTGCTACAGTGTGGGTTATGGTACTATACCATAAGTATAATTTAAATAATAGGGCTGCTTGTTTCCATTTCTGGCAGGAAAAAGGCATCACAAAGCTTCTTTCTTTGTGACTCATTCCATGTTGGTACCACATGCATGGAAGTCAAACGCTTGGTACAAAAGCATTCTTCACTTGGAAAAAATTTTGTCCTTTGCCTATGCAAAATCAATGGCTTTAGGCTTTTTATAAATGATTGGTAGCTTCTAGGCAGATATTGGGAATTAAAGTTGAGAAGAAATAAAGCTGTTGTTGCCATCAGCAGAATTTAATCTGACTAGGTGGGATTTTCCGTTTGTGTTGGCAAACTGAAGCATTACATATTTCGACTGTTTATTCCGGTAACCTTAGCTAGCCTGAAGAACTGCAACATTACTCTTTTGATTAGCTCCACGCAAAAAGATCTTGTGAGATGGAAAGATCTCCTACTCTTTCTATATTTGGCAGGATCAACTCCGTAAAAATGTCCATTTTGCCACTCCTCTGATACCCCGCTGCAGCTGCTTCCTCCCCTCATCCCACGGTGAGATATTAAAAAGTCTGCATGGAACCATCTCCAAGTTTATCTGGAGGTACAAAAAAGCCAAGAATGCGTTTGTCAAGGTTACAAATATCTAGGGAACTCAGATAGTTTTTAGTCTAACTAGCACTTCAAAATATAATAGAGGCCTGCCAGCTGAAAATTATTAACTGCTGCCTGATCTGGGATTGTGAGTGCACTCTACAGGAGAGGGAGCAAGCATTATATGTACCTATATTTCTGGAGTTCTTACAATACCATAATAGAGCCATCCTACCACCAGATGTGCTTATAATGCTCTCAAAGTGCACTCTTTATATCTAGGCAATTGAGGCACTTATTTAATGTCATCCTCCTGTCTTGTAACTCAGGTTTCCTTTTTAGGGAGTGATAGGATTACTTCGTTCTCCTGAGCCATATGTAGGGGGTTTTTTCTTGGTTTTTTTTTTTTTTTTCTTGCTTCTTCTTTTTTTGTGAAGTAGCCTTCCATGAGTCATTTATGTTTGAATTGATCTTGTAAGTTATTTCAAAAGTCAAATGAAGCCTTACTTTGATGACTGCAGAAAACTTTAATACTCTTATATAGCTTTTTAAATATGGTTAGACATCTGCTTTTTTCTACAGCTTATTTAAATGCCAGAAAGGTAATTATGAAGTGTTAGTTGGTCAGTGCCTCTTTTAATCTGTGGCATATGGTAGAAATTATCACTATAGTCAAGAGGAAGATAGAGATTTTTTAAGATAATAGGCTACATTATTTATCTCACATCTTGGAGAATAACTGAAAGTTGTAGTTTTAAGATGACCCAACAATACTTTCTCCAGATTATTTTGTTGTTCTTCTTTATCTGAATAATACACTTGTCTTAAAAATCTTAACTAAAAAGTAATGCTAAACAAATAATTCCATCAGGGGTAAGGTCTGCTTTTAAACCTATTTTCCAAGCAGATTCATTATTTCACCCAATAGCCAATGCTACTATTTTACCATTGTACCATCTCTAGGAAGTTTTAATTCTCTGTATGCAAATTCAATGTTTCATGAGAGATTAAGAAATCTCCCAACACCAAGGGGTCTACAGCATGAAATCAAGGCTATCACTTGTGTGTTCACTTATTTCAAACAAAGGAACTACTGCTACTACTTTCAAACAAAGGAACTATTGGCTATTGCACTCTCTGCAATGCAGCTCTGGGAAAATAGTAAAGAGAAATGGTTCTGCAAACAGCAATCTTCTAAAAATGCTATCTCATGGGAAAGGGGGGGCATGGTCGATAATGCCATCAATATATTTTAGATCATTTTTTGCACCTGTTTAAGGCAGGTATCAAATATGATCTCCTCTGTAGGCATGGCCAGTTGAAAAAAAGTCATAACGGTAGTTAGAATGAAAATAAGTGCTGTTATCTCGCTCAAGGGTAATGATTCATTTTGGTAATGATGGAAAGACAGTTCCTGAGGAGACTTCCCTCTCTTAACTGGAGAGAAAAGAAGTATTAATGTCACACCATGCTCACCCTGAAGTACATTTTTAAGTCACTGGAGGAATACTGATATAAAACAAGTATACAAGAAGAGCCAAGTCTTTTGATTTATGGCATTCAGCTTCTGAAGTCTGCCATATACCAGGGAAACCCCTACCCAGATCCGTGCTATTTACACCATTTTTCTATCAAAGCAATAGATTTGGTTTAAAAGAGACATTTTTACTTTATAACATTACTTGGCTATAACATACATAACCATATGATTCAGAAACTGAAAAATATGTCCAGAATTTCCCCTCAGTGTTCACTTTTTGATTAACAATACAGTTTTAATGTTTTTTGTTGTTGTTGTTTCTTCTCCTTTTCTCAGACCATTTTACTGTGGGAAGACACAGAACTGGATTCTATCAAACTAAAAATCTTAATGCTTTCCTTTTCTAAGGTGGTGTTAAGCAGGAAGGCAGGAAGGAAGGAAGAAGGGAAGGGAGTTATCTCTAGGAGCTCAGTTGTCACTCTGTGATAATCTGGGGAAGCAGAGAAGGATTCACTTACATAAATAAAAAGACTAATGACAATGCTGTAGAAATTACCACAATAATCTGCAGAATGCTTAAAACTGATGCTTTGTGACAGCTGGAGAACAGAAACTACTACCATGACTTAAATAAATTCTCTGTACTTATATAGCTGGACTGTCTTTTCTCCTCCAAAACCAATATTTAATATTTATCTTATTTTCAGTATGCTAAATGCTTTTAGATTAACTATTCCCTTCAGGATAATAAACTGTCTCTTCATTTAGTTGTACTACTCAACATGATCTTTGAAGAAAAGAACATAGAATTTATCCAGGGCAACACTTAATTCTAGGCCAAATTCACCATTATTAAATGTAGAGCTATATCCAGCTGACTGATTCCTGTCAAATTTGCCATCAGGTATTTTTTTAAATTTATTTATCATTGTTCAGTTTCATGCCGACTCTACCTTTGTCACCAAGACAAGAATTCATTCTTTCTCCCCTTAGCTGTCAAAATCAGGTGTGAGTCTAAAAAGCATAGACAGTGGAAATGAAAAACAGGCAAAATTTTATCAATTATTTGATACAAAATAATGTACTTCAAAAACGTAACTACCATACATAAGTAACTGAAAATTACCCCAGTGAAACCTGGTCTGTGAAATTACCACAGTGAAACTGTGGTCAAATCGAACAAGAAATTGCTGTGTTTTTCTCGAAAAGCTCAAAGGCACAGCCATTTTCTAGAAGCTTTCAAAGCAAAAAGCTGTTGGATTTGCTTTTGTGAGTAAAAATGTGTTCATTTTAAAAATTATTTATTGTTTCATTTATTTGCTGGATTTGATATACGTACCTATGGCAGGTGCTCAAGAAAATTGCAAATCTTCTTATATGTAAACTTCACAAATCATTATGCTATTTTGATACCTACTTTTGACTTTATCATCATCTTACTGATTGCATCTAAAGTAATCCCTCAATCTCATATTAATTCCTGAAAAAAGAATGACTGTCTATCAGCGGGCAAAAAGCTTTCCATTTTAATATTAAAACTGTAGGAAATATTTAATGAGATTTTGTGTATTTGAGGCCAGTATTCTAAACTTCTTTACTAAAACACATTTTCAAAATGTGTACATTGATGTAATTATTATTTGAAATGTGACTTCACTACCTATTTAGTGTATAAAGATGAGATCCTGAAACACTTCAATACATGTGTAACATGGATATTTCCATTAGAAATCAATGTGACAACATGCATGATGAAACTTAAGCACATGCAGAAGTGTTTCCTGGACCAGGGTTTGGTGAGCAGGAAACCAATAACAGTGATAAGAAATTCCATCATCTCCGCTGCTTTTACAGAGCAGGGTAAGATAAAGGGGTTTAAAATGCCTGTATCCCAGTTTTGCTGGCGTTCCCATTTTTGCTGCCATCTGGAAACAGGATGTTCAGAAACTCTGCATTAATGGCCACTGCATATACTTAATAGGCTGAACTAAGTTGCTCATATTTGTTGCATGCAGGCAAACCAACTCCTTGTGCATACAGTGTTTGGGACCTACCCCCTCTTCAATGACATTGGTGTGGACAGATTAGAAAAGACATGCACCCATCTAACAGATCTATCACTCATGCTTTTATCTTCCATCTCTGCCTAAGAGATGAAATTAATCTGTAAGTGGTACGTATGAAAGTATAAATTACTTTCACAGCAGAGAGATAATAAATGTATATAATTTTGCTAAAAACATTCAATCTGATTTATCAACATAAATGTTAGCATGATAATATTTTATATATATATGTATATATATATAATATTATAATGAGCTTTACTGTGAGGAGCTGCTAATCACTGGCACATATTGGGCAGGCATTTAAAGTCCATTATTTTTCATCAGTACCTGTCTTTCAGTGAGGTCAAGATTTACTGCTATCTCATATCTTCTCAGCCTGGTCAAATAGTTATGATGAGCAAATTCTGCTTCTAGCTCTCTGATTTGCTCCTTGGTGAAAGCTGTCCTTTCCTTCCTGGGTTTACTGTTGACCTCTGTCTTGTAGTTGCCTTCTTGGGAATCTGAAAAAAAAAAAAAAGGCAAAAAGTGATGTAATGTAATGACAAGTATACAGCGAAATAGGAAACAAGCCCAAAGACGACGACAACAACAAGCTAAAGTTACATCTTTCAAACTTTCTTCTCTCTGAAACACACCCTTGCTTTCATTCCTTTGGATCCTTTGCTGTAAATCAGGAAAGCAGAAGTAATTCTGGCAGACTTGATCTGCTGCTTCCATTGAAACACATCAAACTTTAGCTTAAAACCTTGCAGTGCTTCATTTTCTAACAATTCTCTGAATAATTTCTGCAAAGCTTCAATTCCTTCCCACTGCTGGCAATTCTCAGTGCACCCAACCAGTACAGGATGCGTATCATTTGATTACTGTATAATGAGTAATACCTCAAGAATCTCTCTCCCCTATCATTTCACTAATACCTTAAGCCAAAGCTGTTTTACAGCAGACACTTTAAGGTTTAGTGCAGTTACACTTTCAGGGAAAGCAACAGACAAAGCACAGGAAACTGACCACACGTCAAAAGGAAGTTGGTCCTATCCCATGTCCCATGGGATCTCCTGCTCACGCCATAGTGCAGGTAGGAGCTTTTTGGCACAGCTGGTATCAATATAGGAAATTTGCTACCACTGATGCTCATTACCTAAGGGATACTTTGGCCACAATAAGAGGAGCTTTGCTGAAAGTTTCATTATCACCCTCATAGTTCCTTTTACTCTCAGAAACAGATATATTTGGTCCTGACCCAAACTACTGAACTCAGTAACTCAGTGACAGTCATTCTATTGCAGTCAGTGAAGTCAGCTTAAATAAATGAATGTTCAAACCATAAGGAAAAAAAAAGAGAGTGGAAAGAAAAAAAAAAAAAAAAGGAAAGAAGAAGAAGAAAAAAAAAGACCAGACATTTGTAAGTTTGGGTATGATACAACACCTATAAATCCAAAATTAGCAGGAGATCAGTACAAGTATCATTAGTCAAATTCTGGCCTCACGAACCATCTTAAAAATGTCACAGATTAATTCACACTTCAGCTGCTGATTTAAATAGAAACGTGCATCAACATCCAAATGAACTGGCTCACAAAAAATCCCTCCCTGGGACTCTGTGTCAGATGAATCATCAGCATGCCTGAGCCTGTCCAACTGGCCAATGAGTCTGGTTTCAAGTCTACATTTTATAAAGGTATAAGAATATTTTCACTTTTTTTCAGTCACTCTGTTATTTGGAAGGGACTTTGGGGGTTTTTGAATTGTTTTTTTTTTGTAATGAGAACTGTTGATTCTTGACTCAGTGCTATAGTCAATAATTTAAAATATTTTAAAGCTAATGGCTGCATATCACCAAACCTCTGCTTTTGCTGACATGACACACAGAACTTTGCTTCAAATGTGAAATGTAGTACTGGCTGTATGACTTAGAGTGTCCACCAAAGTTGGTGAGTGTATCTGGGAGTTGTTCAGCCACAAGCACAGCAGGGATTTTAGGACATTAGATGGCAGGCCCATTGACAATAGTGTGGGGCCAAGGTCTATATCCAAACTTGACATAGAAAACTTGATATTTCAAAACCACTTTACACCTAGAAATTAACATTTCTTCCTTTATGCTAATAGGCAAAGTAGAGTCACTGTAACTTCTCTCCATGTTTTTCTGTTTCAGGAACATGCACGTTGGTTTTTTTCCTTTAAATTTCTTTGTCTGCTATCCCATTATAAGGTCCAAATATCAGTAGATCACCTGAATTTAAATACTTAAACCCCTAAATCCCCATTCCATTGAATCACTGAAGAGACACACCTAAATCATTATTCTTACCATTTTGGCTAACCATTCTTATACTGCCAGATGTGTTTCATACAGGTTTGAAAGCAGATGGGTGTGCATAGTCATTATGTGCTGCATGACACAGAAATTAATTTTATGCAAATAATTTCTATAGTCCTCTTATAACTGTCCTGGTCATCCTGTGCCTGTGGGAGGCCATGAGCCAAGAAGTCTTCCCATGTCAGTACTTGCTGTGAGAGGGATCCATGGCTCACTGCTTTCCAGACTAGAGGTTGTGTCCTTAAATAAAAGTAATGTACCTACATATGACACTGATACCATATCAAAGATAAAATACTGGAAATGAAGACATAAGTCTGGATACATGACAGAAAGAGGGGCCAAGGCTATCAAACCTTGGTAGCTACTTCTATTGTGAATATTTGAAGGGAAAAAATTAAGGAGTACCCATCCAAATGTCTCCCAGGAAGACACTGATCTCTGTAAATGACTGAGACTTGTAACATGGGCAATTTTGGCAAGCAGATGGTTCCATGAGGAAAACGGCTTTGCTGTTCAGCAGCAAATGTTTTTTTTGTAACATTCAGAGCCAATGGTTCTTGGGATACTGAAAAGGGAAGGGGAGGAATACTGGGATAAGGAAAGGGGAATATAACTGCATTAGTAGCCTACATCCATCATCTTTGCCAACAGAGAGGATTCAGAACTGTTATCAGTGTTAGCCCATACAGATCCCGTGGAAATATAAGCATTCTTGGACTATTGGTTATTTTGACATTTCTTCCATTGCTGGATTCTACCTTTAATTCAATGCTGGATTCTAAATGCCTGACAGCCATAGTTTTGTTAGCAGTAAGATGCCACCAGCAGACTGACACAGTGGAAAAGTTGCAGGGTTTTATTTGTTTTTGAGAATATTATTGATTGGATTTGTAATAGTGTAAAAACCACATGGTATATTCAAACACTACTGAAAGCAGAAACTGGAGAGGTACACAGAAATCTGGGACATGTACAGAGAGCTGACTCCCTCTCAATACTGAGGTAATGTAACAGAGCAACCGGAATCCCAGGAAATCTGTTTCAAAAAAAATACAGCCAGCAAGACAATAGTATTTTGCTTAATGCATTTGAGATATTGAAAATATATCTAAAAATAGACTGAAACGGGTACTAGTTAGGTAATCATGAGTCTCTTGCTGTCATCCTGCTTGCTGCAGTGTCGCTGTGGTTCATGTGCAGGTTGCCTTTTATGTCCTATTGATGTTGTACTGCTTGGAATTTTAGTTTTAAAATTTGGGGTTGTTTTAATTTCAAAAGAGAAAGAATCTAGGTTTTCTAATTGGCTGTTGTTTTTTTAGCAGTCTCTATAAAGCCAAGATTGGGAACTCCCATCTCTTTCTGACCTTCAGGACTCTGTTCATATCACCTGACTAGCTTCTCTTTGGTGGAAAATGGGTGGGAGACTTGGAAGAGATTCTTGGCAGAACTCACGTCAGCCTACATCTGTTTTGCAGCTGTTGCAACTAAGGCAAGAAAAAGGTCCCAAGAACCTTAGTTTTCTTCTACTGGCTACATCTTATGCCAAGTGGTAGGTGTAGAGGCAGAGAACAAAGCCTAGGGGGAACTGAGTTAGACTACTTGCCTCTCAAAAGGCACACATAAAATACATACAGATGGTACTAACCACTTGATGAAAAATACAGTAATCTATATTGTCTGTCTTCCGCCTTCTGCCAGACCAACTCTGGCACACTTTCAGAAGATGTAGCCTACATGCAGGTATTTGTACCTTATCAGTCTCTCCTCTGGAAACCTTTGTTCTTTAGATGTCAAGTAATGTAGGCAGTTAAACACTGCTTTGAGGGATGCAGGTCATGCCTTTTCTTAGAACTGTTTTTATCACTTTTCAAAAACTCCAAGCAGCATCTTTAATATCTCCTGTTAGACAAAAATACTTGTTGGTAACTGATGTAAGAAAGTACTGTTTGGAAAGACATTCAGAGTTATAAATGGCTGTTCCACAAATCTTTGAAGACTAAGATTTTTGCCGAGTTTAAAAACAGCTCAAGATTTATTTTTAAAAAAATCATTCCTAATCACCCTATTCCCCACCCTCAAAAGTTACTTCTGCTTTACTTTAAGGAATGGTTTGTTCTTAATCCCAACATTTGTATTATCCCATCAGAGTTCCTATTTCCTTCTCTCTGCATCAAGAGCTGAAGCATGCCAAGCGAACACAGGATCAAATTCCTATACAGTGATAATTTTGATGTTTTTACTTCTGATACCCGCCTAAGGAAAAGAAAGACTGATCCAGAACATTGAAAGAGACTGGTGGAGGTATCTATGGTACAAAGACCTGCTAGTAACCAGGTAGGGTCAGAATCAAAGGTCAAATGTGCAAGAAACACCCTTTTTTTTCTTGGATTAGTTCAACAGCTGGCATACCTTCATTTCTCAGACAGAAATGAACATTCAGTTAATACCAGGAATGTAAATCCCCAGACAAAAATTTTCAAAAATTAATCAGATTGCTAGTGTTCTATTGGTAGTTACAGAAGGTTTTCAGATCCTGATATGCACACTGAGAGTGAACAGTGACAATGACCACTAATGATTTTTGACAAAAAGGCCATAAGAATTTCACCTTTATTGCTCAATATTCAGGTTTTCAACTTTTACTAACAGTTTGCAACACTTACCCATGAAAAGCCCCCAGCACTAGCAAACAATTTCTAAATTTATTTCACTATTAATTTATAGTGAAGTTGGATAAATTATATGTCCTTAATTGTGTATCTTCCTATAAATGATGATCAAGAAAACCACTACAACATAGGCATCTACTTTGAAATGAAGCTATCTATGCAAAGTATTAAAAGCAAAAATCTTGCTACTTCTGAGTATTTTAATGTTTTATGAAACAATATTTCTTTCCAACATAAATCTTTGACTTTTTTTAAATAACTGGTATGTAACAAAACCTTCTAGAAATCAAAAAACACAATAATGATACGTGATCCAATTCAAAATGCTTGCTTACTTTTCTTTTTTCTTTTGAGATATGAACAATATGAACTAAGGAAAAAGTAGCAAAGAGATGGTGCAAAGGTCTCCATATGGTTCCTATTTTTTTGCCAGAAACTACGTGTGAGAGCAAGATTTACCCAGAAACAGTCGCCTTCAGACATTTTTGACATTTAATACAGAATATTA